GCCTGACGCAGGCTCGATAACATCAGTGATACCTTTACACCACTGGGATTCGAAAACTGATGCGGAATCTCCTCGGTAGCGTTGAAGAAATTAATTTTCTGAAATGAAACACGTATTTCACAAAATGTTAACTTGCCGACTTCCNAACTCTATCCATCATTGAAATATTCCCAAATTCTTTGTAAACATGCGATTTTTGACGAGTGTTGAATGTTGTCGGATTGGTGAATTGATCTGTAAGATTCAGGATTGCAATTTCACCAAGATGGATTATTACGAGGCCGGATATCAGTTTCGTGTCCATCACTCTGATATGGTCACAGATGAAGAGGACTCTCGAGATTCCGGAGTCAGTCTCACTGCTGATGATATCTCACAGTTGTGCGACTTCGATCAGCAACATTCCACTAACAATACTACCGAATTTAACAGTGCCACCAAGCTTAGACCACCTGTTAGCCTTCATACAGTATCATTATTAATCTTTACTAGCATTAACAAAAATGCGAACAACTACCAATAATGATAATAATAACTTTAAGATGAACAAGACATTCGACATGGAGAATCTTTGTGAATTGAAAATCGACGAGCTGTGTTCTGATTTGAATGATATCGAGAATCGAGCAGATCAATTTCTGAGAAGACGGATCAGTAATAGCAGAATATCCATCACAAGCAATACTGATGAAAGGATAGCTTTCAATCAAACAACACCTATCTCATGTAGCAGTTATGACAATCGGTATTATTCATGGATTCATTTGCTGTTTTAATCTCTCAACACCTCTAATTTGGAAGACCTTGCACATCAAGTTATACGAATGCATCTTCGATCTTCAATCAAATATACACCCAACAAAACAGTAACTCTTCAGATCGGAGCGATATGATGCAGAAGCAAATCGAGGCGATGCTTCGACATCCTCTACAGTCTACAATAGTGATTGCATGATATCCCAAACACCCATTTTCAATCGACATTTAAGCAGAAAGCGCAAATGTGGACAACAGATTGAATATTGTGAACGTATCAAGAAGACTAAACTCTTGACTCATACTCAGGAACAACAAACTGAAATTCATCTAAATAAGGTCTGAGCATTGAGAAGTTTTACTGAAAAGGCATAAAACTCTTTGAAGATATCCTATTCAAATGCTATTGATGGCAGGATTTTTCGTGTCCGAACTGAAGATGATTAGTGAAATATCTTTGAAAAGACTTTCGTTGTCGAGCAAAATTTGAAAAGAATTTATTGTTCCGTTGTTTTTCTCATTCCAAAAGATAGAAGAACTTCCTCGATGCGATGAAAAATCTGCAGAACCAAGAGCTTTGTCATCCTCTGAAAGCAATCGCCACTGCAAAACCATTCCAACGCGCATTCTCAACAAGTGCAATCGAAACGTCGTCGTCTTCACGCCATCATCTCTATAATACGTCTCAAAACAATGAATTTGAACTGCCAAAACTGCTCGAAGTGGTTAGCGCTCTCAATTCTATTCAGTTCAATCGTTTACCCGCAATATTCAGCATCTCAAAATGAATTTTAAAAATGTTTTNTTCTTTAATATTTGTGTTTACATATTCTGTGTTTATATAATCCTTTACAAGAAAACAATCGGAAGTTGTTGAAAGTCTCAATTAACTTGACTGGTATCACTTTTGAAAAGGATAATGGAGAAGTGAAATCTAGATGAAATGAAAGCAGATTTGTTATTATTGTTGGTGATTTGTTATTATTGTTGGTGACAATGGTTTGATTGGTTTTTTAAATTAACGAATAATTTTGCCGTTCTCTTTAGGAGTATACACTGGAGACCGTGCATCGTCCCCAAATAGATTCGTGTGCTTTCCGAAGTATCTCGGCTGAAACGCTGAT